CATGGTCCGGCACGACGACACGAGGCGTATCGCTGGCAACAGCTGAGTACTTCGTTAAGCCGTGGTAGACTTTGTATATCTGTGGAGGATCGGTACACTGGGTACAACCCTCTAAAAATATACGGGATGATTGAGAAAGGTGATTTCATCAATCGGACCATCGCTGGAATTTACGCCTTGCATATGTCGTCAAATAATATGCTGACGACGAAATAATCGACGTCAATACCGTGACAGTAGTCTGACCAGTGTCGGGTTGCGCAGCCGGTACGAAATCGAGCCGGTGCGACAGAGCATAAGCGAAGACATTTAGCCTTCCTGGCTTGTTTTTCACGTAAAATTTGTACTTAATGAAGAACGAGAGCCACCTCGCCATTAGTTGCGAGACGTGTGGACTGGATATGAGCGTGCGTAACGACGCATGGTACGCGTGAACGATGAAGGATTTACCACCAAGCAGGTAGGCCTTGAAGTTCGCCAAAGCATTCTTCACGGTACTTGTTTACTTTTCACGGACCGGGTAGTTAGGTTCAGCCGGTTGAACCTGACGTGACCAATAGCAGACGGCACAGTCAGCACCGTCTGCATCACACTGTATTGTTACACATCCGATTTAAATTTACTTGCATCGCGGACCACATAAAAGTGGCATGTGTTGGTCTACAATTGCCAGAACTGGCTAGCATATTAAGCTTTGTTTGGTGCTTTCGAAGGAGTGCTGACACTCAGCACTCCATGTCCGTTTCTTAATTATTTTTATTAAACGAGAGAGTTGAGCTGTCATCTTCGCGACAATGTGCGAGTACATGTGCAAGTACGACGCTAAGCCAAACAACTTTTTAAGTCTTCGATCTCGACTGGCAAAGAACAGTCTCTAATCACCTCAAAATTCTCTGAATTAGGGCGTACGTTGTCTTTACCCAAGATGCAGCCAAGAAGTGTTATTTATCTAGCAGCATGTATGGTCTCCTTGACGTTTGCATATAGCTTATGGGTCACGCATCGGTGTAAGAACGTTTCGGATGTGTAGTCGGTAAACCTCGACATCCGTCTGTCCACCATTCGACTGGCTATGGACGAATACGCCATAAAAGTAATTAGGTGCGAAGTCTTGCACGATCTTTAGAAATTCGAAACGCACCTGTTGAATGTAGCAGGGCCATGTCTTAATTCCTGTGGCATGACTAGCCACTACCAGAGCATACCGCTTGGGATGCTGACCGCTTTGAAGGGGATGTCTCTTTTACTCATGATGATCTGATTGTAGCCACCCGTCCGACCCATGGACAAGAAGATGGTACTATTTTCCATACCATCGTTACTGACATCCTTCCTTGGTATCGGCAATTGAGCCGGGGCCGTTGTGATATCCAACATGTCAAAGGTGTTTCTATTCGCAACTCGCCCTTGGCCTTTCGGACACTGAAGGTTGGAGAACAATGTAAATATGAAGTAATTCTTAGTATGGCCTGCTGCCAATCGATAGGCAATAACTTATCAATCGACAGTACCTATTCACGATTTAGTGGCCATTGCTTCATTAAAAGTACTTTAAACCTAATTTTAAGTCGATTTCGTGACAAAGACCCGTTTTTTTGGGTATTTCGCACGGAACTTTGACTTGAAACTCATCTCTGAAATCGATCAAATCATCGTAAATAGGGTTTGTATTACGAGATTCCCACAATTGGGATTTGAATCGCTCGATCTGAGTCTTTTCATCGAGTACACATTCGTCCATCTATGAGCTGCCAATTTACGTGTGTTCTCGACAAATACTACTGCCGATCGATTGAAGGTCATTTGCGTGTCTTCCGTGACGAGTACGCAAATCTGATTGACATTACCACTACGCAGATAACGCAAGAAAATTTCTGGTTTAGTGTGGACAGTTAAGTGATCTCTGGATTTGTCTTCGGAGGCGAGATTTGATCAATTTAGTAAGTGCCTATACTTGATCCGTCATTTACCAGGACTTATAATGTCTCTGTTATCTCCTAGATGCTTATTTAAGCATTTGGGTGGTACCTAATTCCCTTACCAGCTTTTAGACTAAACTATCACATGACACGAGTGGAATTGCTCCCTCGCTATCCTCTGGTGGTGGTTGCGCTAGTTCAGCCAGGTCTTCTACGTGTATTTTTCAACTGCACTAACATCATGGTATTGTCCATCATTGGCAAAGCATTAATTGTTAATCGGATGTTGATCGTATGGAGGACACCTGAAACGGGGTGAATCGTTACATAACAATTTATTAGAAATTGTTAATAGAATATAACTATAAGAGTTATATTCTCAGAATATTGTCATAAGGACAAATATTCTGTAGCACTTACGAGTAGTTCCTAATTGGTTGATGAAGGCCGTTATATCAACCAAGGAAGACGCGCCACGACAGACGCACGCAATGAGTGGTGTAACGGGCTGAATCGTTACATAACAATTTATAAGAAATTGTTAATAGAATATAACTATAAGAGTTATATTCTAAGAATATTGTCATAAGGACAAATATTCTGTAGCACTTACGAGTAGTTCCTAATTGGTTGATTTAGGCCATTATTTTAACCAACGAAGACGCGCCACGACAGACGCACGCAATGAGTGGTGAGCAGATAACTGATTTACACATTTGTATTTAGACATAGTTAGATGAAGATAAATAGTGATTTATTGCAGACATTAACTATTATAAATACAGTTCTACTTTTTACTTTAACCAAGTACTCGCTTCTTCTTACCGTCTTCCTCTGCACGTACGAGTGTACGTGAAGTTACGAGGCACCGCCTTATTCTGTTATCAGAATAAGTAGCTTGTACTGTCACCAGTACAAGCTTCAGGGTGCCCCGTTACACCTGGTAGCACTTCGTAGTCCGTCCAAGGACGACGTTCACATCTAACATGAATATGTTAGATGATGGAGATGACCAAAGCTTTCACGCTACGCGTGACGGCTACTCCCATTTGAGCGATGTCGAATGGGATGCGGTTGAACCATGGGCATCCATGCTGTTCGCGGCATGTTAGAGGCTCTTAATAGAGATGCCCAACATGCTACTATCGCCAAGTTCATTCAAAATGAACTTGACGCCGAACGCGAGAAAGTAGCCTTGCTTCACCAACAAGGTTCTCAACAAGCAGAGTTGTTGAGAGAACAAGGTGCTCAACAGTTTGAACTGTTGAGACAGCAGCAGGCTGCTGCTGGTGGGTCGATGCACTCGCGTCGACCCGAAACCTTGAAGATTGACATCTCCAAGTATAGAGGGGTCGAAGAAGACTCCCTCTTGAGATGGTTCGTCGAATTGGATGACGCCATAAGGGCGCGTCGCATCGACGACGGGGATATGCAAGTTGCATTTGCCCAGTCAAATCTGGCAGGACGTGCCAAGACTTGGGCACTGGGGCTCAAGTTGCACGACCCATATGCGTTTGGGTCGTTGGAAGTCTTCAAGTCGCGGCTCAGACAAACGTTTGAACCGCCTAGAGCTGAGTTCAGAGCTCGAACCGAACTCTTGAAGCTCAAGCAGGGTAAGCGTGATGTACACGCTTACGCTCAACATATACGACATCTCACGAGTTGTATAAGTTCCAATCCGGTGGATGAACACACGTTGGTTTCGGTGTTCATGCAGGGTCTTGCGGATGTTCCCGTCAAGACTCACCTGTTCCGGCTTGAACTAGATTCACTAGAACAAGCCATTTCCATTGCGGAGCAGGAAGACTTCAGTCTGAGACAGGCTCGCGCCAGCTCGACATCATATCGTCAACCGAGACGATATGACAACGGAGGTCCAGAGCCGATGGAACTCTGTTATGTAGAGAGCGAGAAGGCTCGCTCTACAGGCTACAAGAGGTTGCAGAGATGCAACAGATGTCAAAAGACAGGACACTACGCTTACGAGTGTAGTGCCCCTCGTCCAGTGTCTCGCGACACTGGGCGTAGTGACCGTCCACCCATGAGAAAGGGGCAGGGACGAGGGTCCGCTGTTGGTGCAAAGACGCAACAACGGGATGGACCGTCAAAAAACGGACAGGATATGTAGGTGCGGAGCACCCTACTGGTCCAGCAACGTCAAGAGAATTTGTAGTCCTCTTGATGAAGGTTGCTCCCAACACACAAACGTTGTGCGTTGCTGCTCTAGGTAATGAGGTCTCACTCATTACCTTGAAACTCGAAGTGACAAATAAGTTGTCCCTTCGAGCTCTAGTCGATTGCGGGGCGTCCAACAATTTTGTGCGACGCCAATCGCTAGAAGATGGTCACTTTAAATTCAGTGAATGTGACACACCTCCTACGAGGATGACGGTACGTCTTGCGACAGGCGCATCCGTTACCGTCATGAAGCGTATAGTGAAGATCCACTACACGCTAGAAGATACCCAATATGACGATGACTTTATCGTATTGGATTTGGACGACAAATTTGATGTCATCCTTGGAATACCGTGGCTCAGAAGGTACGAACCACGGGTAAACTGGCAACATCGGACAGTAACGATGCCTGCCGCTTGTTCATCAGATGGCCATCTGATGAACGTCTTGGATCGTTCACAAGCGTGTGGATGTACTACGAGTGAGTGCGATGGCCTCACTTGTGGTACGGTCGTTAGTACGACTGCACAAAACCTTAGTGCACCAAACGGTTACACTTCGGAGCAAAGTTCCGGCGGATGTGAGGAAACACAGGCTGCGCCGAAGGTCCACCACTCGAATAAGTCGGGTGGACTGGGACAAAGATGTATCCCTAGCGGGGAGCATCTAGAAGAGAAACAATTGTTCGCTCAGATTAAGCGAAGCGATAATCCTAGATCGACTGGAGAGTATTTCGTAGAGGATCTCGCTGTGGTTGCGCAACCACAGCTAGCGAAAGTTAAGGGAATAAGTCCCAAGATTACAAATACGGCGGAAATAAGTTCCCCGAAACCCGCGGGAATTCGTCCACGGGAAGCCGAAGGAATAAATCCTTCGAGGCCTGAGGGAATAAGTCCCCAGGAAATGACAGAGACATTGAATGTCATAGTCAATAACGGACCAAGTGTAGGCGCTTATACACTTGATCTGATTGCGCCTCCGAAGTTAACTTCGGAGATCACTCAGTTGCCAACGCTCGAACACAAAAGGCTCTTGCGTGATCTGCGTAGTGGCAAAGTCAAGCAGATCTGCATACTCGTCGCTGACGACGAGTGTGTAACCGACATAAGGTCAGCAACAGTGTTCACTGAGAACGAGAGAGTTCTCAGTAGTTCATCTATGAACGAGAGTGGCCTAGATGAAAAGACACGAATTGAGCGATATGACTCCCAATCGTGGGAATCGCTCAAGACAAATCCTCTCTTTGAAGAGTTGGTTGAATTCAAGGATGCATTCCCTGAAACTGTTCCGTGCGAATTACCGAAGGATAAAGGTATTCGACACGAGGTCGAGATTAAACCAGGCTCGAAGTACTGTGTCATGAAGCAGTGACCACTGCCTCGTGAACAAGTGCTTGCGATCGACAAGTTCTTTGCCGATCGTTTAGCTGCGGGCCATGTGAGGGAATCAACTTCCTCACATAGCTCTCCGAACTTCTTTGTGCGAAAAGCAACAGGAGGGTGGCGGATAGTGCATGCATTTAGCAAGTTGAATGCTGCAACGGTACCGGCTCAGACGCCGATACCCAGGAAGGACGTAATCATTGATGGTATGTCAAAGAGTACCATCTTTTCGTCCATGGATTTGATGGATGGCTTCTATCAAATCCTTATGCGAGAACGGGATATGCCCTATACCGCAGTTAGCACGCCTAGCGGCATGCTCTGGGAATGGCTAGTAATGCCACAAGGGCTTATTAATGCTCCTGCCACGTTCAACAGATGTGTATCGCATCTGTTGAGACTAGTACGAGAATTCGCGCCGAGTTATTTAGATGACGTATTCATCCATAGTCGGGCTATAGATAAAAAGTCGGACGTTGAGGTTCACAGGTACCACGCCCGACAGGTTCTTACAATCATGCAAAAGCATCAATTTTATGCCGATCAGAAGTAGTGTACAATTGCAGCAAGCGAAATACCACTTCTTGGGTGCATCGTTGGTAAGAATGGTGCACGTCCTGATCCCGAAAAGTTAAAGGCGATCACCGACTGGCCTGTGCCGGTTGATGTCAAAGGTCTTCAAAAATTCCTTGGGCTAGCGGCGTATTTGCATAAGTATTCACGCAATTACGCCGAGATGACTGTGCACCTCTCTCGTTTGTTGAAAAAGAACGAGAGGTGGTTATGGAACGCTGAATGTCAACGCTCCTTTGAGGGTACCAAGCAGAGATTGATACAATCCCCAGTTCTAGCAAAAGCCAATCAAGACAGGCCATTTCATGTGGTCTGTGATGCCAGCGATTTCGCAATCGGCTGTGCGTTAATGCAGTACGACCTCGAAGGCGTTGAACGCGTCGTCTGCTATCAGTCGCGTCAGCTGCAACCAGCTGAGCGGAACTATCCAGTGCATGACAAGGAACTTCTTGCCATGAAGTATGCACTCGCGAAGTTCAGAGTCTATCTCTTAGGAGATCGATCCTTCATTGTTTACACTGACCATGCGTCATTACGCACGGCGGTGAACAGCCCGCACCTTTCACAACGAATGGCGCGGTGGTTGTAATTCTTTGCAGAATACAACTTTACGGTCGAGTACAAACCAGGACGACTCAATGTCGTCACTGATGCACTCTCACGTCGTCCCGACTTTGAACCATTCGTGAAGGCCAACAGTGAGACAGCCAATGTTGCGGTTATGACGTCCTCAGTCCCATCTACAACGTTACATGATGATGTGAGGCGGGCATACGTCCAAGATGGTGTGATTGTGAAGTTGTTGACACATCTCTCACAGCCATCTCGAGAATTGTTGAAACGATTGTCGTCTGCGTATCGATCTGCATCAGATTGGTGCACTACTCGTAACGGTTTACTGTATTATACAGCCGTTTCTGGTGACACACCACGTGTTACCATTCCAGATGATACTGATCTGCGTTTGCGAATCATGTTCGAGTATCACGATGCTCCTATAGGAGGACATCGTGGCCGGGAGAAAACACATCTCACGGTGAGTCGAGACTTTTACTAGCCCTGCCAGTATCAGTTTGTGCGAAAGTACGTTCGCGCATGCGAAGTCTGTCAACGAGTGAAGTCAAGTCCTTCACTGCGTGCACCTTTACAGCCTCTACCAGTTCCGGCTGAGTGCTGGGAAATCATCTCAATGGATTTTGTCTTCGGGTTACCCAAAGACGCATGCAATAATACGGGTATTCTCGTATTTATTGACAGATTCAGCAAAATGGTACACCTTGTGGCTGTACCAGAGTCAATCACGGCAAGTGGCTGTGTTTGTGTCTTTAATGACACCATCTTCCGACTTCATGGGTTGCCCCGTGAACTCTTACCAGACAGAGATCCACGATTCACTGCTGATTTCTGGCGTTCCGTGTTCAAATCACTCGGAACACGCTTGAAGATGTCAACATCTGATCATCCAGAGTCAGACGGTCAGACCGAACCTGCCAATCGTGTCCTTGAAGAGATACCTCGAGGGTACGTGCACTCCTTTAAGAGTTGGAGTGAGTTTTTGCCAATGGTAGGTTTTGCCATTAACAACTCGGTGCATGCGTCCACGACACATACACCGTTTTACGTGAATGGCTTGCGCCATCCGCGTGTACCCACCTTACTAGAGTGTAACTCTGGTTTAAGGGGGGGAGGGACTCGCGCGAGCAAAAACCGATTTGGTTCACGCTCATCACGCTCTGACGAAGAAGTCATTGCGTTTGATGCCGATATCGATAACATCGATATCGAAGAAGATGATGCCAGTGAGAGTGCGGAAGCCCTCACTGAAGACAATGATCCCAGTGAGAGTGCGGAAGCCCTCACTGAAGAAAAGGTTGTTGTCGCTGCAGTGCGCTCACAGCACACTGAAGCTAACGAGTCATCAGATGAGTTCATATTGGCTCGTGAAACGGTAGTCCGTTTTGTGCAAGACTCCATCGCCGAAGCGGTGGATAAGCAAAAGCAAAACGCTGACAAGAATGGAAGGGCAAACACTCTTTTATTTAATAAAGGTGACTTAGTCCTACTGTCTACGGTTAACTTACCAAAGCATGTAGTGACTAACTTGGGTAGCAGTAAACTACTACCCATGTACATCGGCCCATTTCGTGTATTGCAACGCCTAGGCAATGCATACACGATCGAGTTGCCACGTAAGATGCGAACGCATCCCACGTTTTACGTTAGTCGGCTTAAGCCGTACCATCAGTACGCTGCTTCTTCCGATGAAGAACGCCCTTGCGCTCAAGCATCTCGCAGAGAGCCTTGTGCTCCCGATGGTGGGCATCAACAAGGGTCTGAAGAGCAGCTATCTCATCCCGAGACCGATCAACAATCCCACGAGCTACCCTTAGCTCGTCACGAAGAGATGTCAGAGCTCTCTCGTTCTCAAGATGAGCGTAGGCAAACTCAGCTCGATGCTTCAAGGCAGTGTCCGCCATTTGGAGACGCCTGTACCGCTTATGTTCGAGATCGCCGCGTAACCCTTGCGTTACGCGATCAAAGAAGCTCTCGGGAACACACGGATCCCCACGATTGTGTGGAGAGCGTCTTCCCTCCTCCTCCACCTCCATTAGAGGACTCTCGCGGTGGCCAGCGCTATCTAGTTGAGCAGCTGCTGAACCACCGCGACGTGAACGGACGTCGGACGAGTTATCTCGTCCGGTGGCGCGGCTATCCCCCGTCCTGGGATTCTTGGGAGCCCCGCTCCCAACTGATGATCGACGTACTGGGTCTGGTTGAGCAGTACGACGCGGCACATCCTGTGCCGCAGAAGGACCGCCGGAGAAAGTCTTCCCGGCACGGTCGTAAAGGGATTTCAGGTTGTCAATCCCTTCGTACATCTCACTAGAGATACGTACGCGCCACCACGGGCTATTAGGGAGGTAAACTTCCTTAGGTGCTCGTGCAGAGTTGTTTTCACAACATGGGCACGAGTCTCCCCAAAAGAGACAGGGTAATCCTTTCTCCCTAGACAGACGATGTATCTTATAGCGTGCACCTGTTGGGGTTCGCTTTTCGAACTTATCACGAGCTTTGATAAGTTTGTCGTTCCAAGCTTCACGACCTACATCCTCAAGGTTATGGATGTAGGCGTTCCACGCCTGAAGCAGTGAGGGACCATCACGTTTATGATTCCCACTGCACCATCGGTGTCTAAAGAAAGCATCGATGAAGAACTCATGTTCAGCGCGATAGTTTTTCGCGCTGGGGTCAAGGTGATGGATCCTTGACGAATCGAACAATCGTGTTCGATAACGATCACTCGTCGTCGCCGACAAGTGATCCATGACGGATTTTGGAGGCATCCATGCCTTCTTTTCTGGAGCGAGACGCAAGACACTGCGGTCCTGCTATTCTTGCGACGTGCCGACAGAAGTACTGGCACCTCGTTGCGAAGTGGTGTCAAAAGGAGAACCGACACCACTGTGAGCGCCCGAGTCTTGCGACTTCGAGCGCCTTCGCTTCGGCGATGGTTCATCTGATTCATCAGATAAACCAAAGATGCTACGACGCAAAGCATCGTCCATGCCACGCTTGGCAGGCGGCTTAGATTCAATCGCCGTCGATACGGATCCGTCATCCGTATCAGGAGAGTACGAGACACCGAGCTCGTACTCTGTGAAGAAACGAGTGTCTTCATGACCAGCGCCTGCATCACCAAGTGACACAGGCTGGGTCGCTTCAGCAACCGATGAGGCATCAGTTGCTGTGGTTTCTGCTTCGGCGTCCGCACAGAGACGTGCAGACGCGCTCTCGGCGGCCTTGCTCGCGCATCGCATGGGCTTGTTAACCATGCGATGAGATGTTGGAAAGTGGACGCGGACCAACAAGTGCAAACCCTGTCCCAAGTGATTTGGGACGAGTATCCATTTAGTCAATCAGTCACTAAAGTGGCTGATGGTTAAGGGGGGGGCAATGTAACGGGCTGAATCGTTACATAACAATTTATTAGAAATTGTTAATAGAATATAACTATAAGAGTTATATTCTCAGAATATTGTCATAAGGACAAATATTCTGTAGCACTTACGAGTAGTTCCTAATTGGTTGATGAAGGCCGTTATATCAACCAAGGAAGACGCGCCACGACAGACGCACGCAATGAGTGGTGTAACGGGCTGAATCGTTATATAACAATTTATTAGAAATCGTTAATAGAATATAACTATAAGAGTTATATTCTAAGAATATTGTCATAAGGACAAATATTCTGTAGCACTTACGAGTAGTTCCTAATTGGTTGATTTAGGCCATTATTTTAACCAACGAAGACGCGCCACGACAGACGCACGCGATGAGTGGTGAGCAGATAGTTGATATACACATTTGTATTTAGAAATAGTTAGATGAAGATAAATAGTGATTTATTGCAGACATTAACTATTATAAATATAGCTCTACTTTTTACTCTAACCAAGTACTCGCTTCTTCTTACCGTCTTCCTCTGCACGTACGAGTGTACGTGAAGTTACGAGGCACCGCCTTATTCTGTCATCAGAATAAGTAGCTTGTACTGTCACCAGTACAAGCTTCAGGGTGCCCCGTGACAACCAATCCGTAACGTTGTTACCATTATCTACCACTAGCTACCACTTACAGTTAATTTTTACCAGCTTTTATTTTACCAGCTAGTATGATTTTGCCCGGCTTTTATCAGTTTTAGGTGTATTGTACTAGCTCCACAAAGCAGGTTCTCTCTGTGTACAGGGGTCGGGCTGGGTGAAAAGATCAAAATGCGATGGAAAAACCGTGCTGGATGAAATTTGCGAGTCACTTTGTAATAGAAAAGAGATCTGCATACACAACGCACGCACCAATCCTTTTCTGTCCAACTGGTTCTCGAAAAGGTTCTCAGCCTCAAACTTTGCCTCAATAGGATCATCTGTGCACGACTTTGTCATGCTAATTAGTAGCAAAGAGATTGCAAATGGCTAGCAGTACAACGCGGTATACCTGTGGAGTGAGGACCTCTTTGCAGAGTGATTGTGGTTGCAAACCAAGTAAACGGTAGTTGCACTTGCCTTGATTATCCCCTGGCAACTTCGCCATCATAAAGAACATCTACACCAGAATATGAAGATGTCTGATTGTGGACAAAATTAGCCTGTAAATCGCAAAGAAGGTGTTAGAACATATACCATTACAAAGAAAGCACGTATAAAGCCCGTCGCGGGAAGTGGCCTCAGTGGGCCTCAAGACTGATGCGTAGATGGCAGGTTCCTACCCGTGCCAAGTCTCCTAATTTTGAACGGCTAGGCGGTAATGTAACGGGGTGAATCGTTACATAACAATTTATAAGAAATTGTTAATAGAATATAACTATAAGAGTTATATTCTCAGAATATTGTCATAAGGACAATATTCTGTAGCACTTCCAAGTAGTTCCTAATTGGTTGATATAGGCCATTATATCAACCAACGAAGACGCGCCACGACAGACGCACGCAATGAGTGGTGAGCAGATAACTGACTTACACATTTGTATTTAGACATAGTTAGATGAAGATAAATAGTGATTTATTGCAGACATTAACTATTATAAATACAGTTCTACTTTTTACTCTAACCGAGTACTCGCTTCTTCTTACCGTCTTCCTCTGCACGTACGAGTGTACGTGAAGTTACGAGGCACCGCCTTATTCTGTTATCAGAATAAGTAGCTTGTACTGTCACCAGTACAAGCTTCAGGGTGCCCCGTTACACTCGGTAGCACTTCGTAGTCCGTCCAAGGACCGCGTTCACATCCAACATGAATATGTTGGATGATGAAGATGACCAAAGCTTTCACGCTACGCGTGACGGCTACTCCCATTTGAGCGATGTCGAATGGGATGCGGTTGAACGAATGGGTTCGACCATGGGCATCCATGCTGTTAGCGTCATGCTAGAGGCTCTCAATAGAGATGCCCAACATGCTACTATCGCCAAGTTCATTCAAAATGAACTTGACGCAGAACGCGAGAAAGTAGCCTTGCTTCACCAACAAGGTTCTCAACAAGCAGAGTTGTTGAGAGAACAAGGTGCTCAACAGTTTGAACTGTTGAGACAGCAGCAAGCTGCTGCTGGCGGGTCGATGCACTCGCGTCGACCCGAGACTTTGAAGATTGACATCTCAAAGTATAGAGGGGTCGAAGAAGACTCCCTCTTGAGATGGTTCGTCGAATTGGATGACGCCATAAGGGCGCGTCGCATCGACGACGGGGATATGCAAGTTGCATTTGCCCAGTCAAATCTGGCAGGACGTGCCAAGACTTGGGCACTGGGGCTCAAGCTGCACGACCCATATGCGTTTGGGTCGTTGGAAGTTCTTCAAGTCGCGGCTCAGACAAACGTTTGAACCGCCTAGAGCTGAGTTCAGAGCTCGAACCGAACTCTTGAAGCTCAAGCAGGGTAAGCGTGATGTGCACGCTTACGCTCAACATATACGACATCTCACGAGTTGTATAAGTTCCAATCCGGTGGATGAACACACGTTGGTTTCGGTGTTCATGCAGGGTCTTGCGGATGGTCCCGTCAAGACTCACCTGTTCCGGCTTGAACTAGATTCACTAGAACAAGCCATTTCAATTGCGGAGCAGGAAGACTTCAGTCTGAGACAGGCTCGCGCCAGCTCGACATCATATCGTCAACCGAGACGATATGACAACGGAGGTCCAGAGCCGATGGAACTCTGTTATGTAGAGAGCGAGAAGGCTCGCTCTACAGGCTACAAGAAGTTGCAGAGATGCAACAGATGTCAAAAGACAGGACACTACGCTTACGAGTGTAGTGCCCCTCGTCCAGTGTCTCGCGACACTGGGCGTAGTGACCGTCCACCCATGAGAAAGGGGCAGGGACGAGGGTCCGCAGTTGGTGCAAAGACGCAACAACGGGATGGACCGTCAAAAAACGGACAGGATCAGTAGGTGCGGAGCACCCTACTGATCCAGCAACGTCAAGAGAATTTGTAGGCCTCTTGATGAAGGTTGCTCCCAACACACAGACATTGTGCGTTGCTGCTCTAGGTAATGAGATCTCACTCATTACCTTGAAACTCGAAGTGACGAATAAGTTGTCCCTTCGAGCTCTAGTCGATTGTGGGGCGTCCAACAATTTTGTGAGACGCCAATCGCTAGAAGATGGTCACTTTAAATTCAGTGAATGTGACACACCTCCTACGAGGATGACGGTACGTCTTGCGACAGGCGCATCCGTTACCGTCATGAAGCGTATAGTGAAGATTCACTATACGCTAGAAGATACCCAATATGACGATGACTTTATCGTATTGGATTTGGATGACAAATTTGATGTCATCCTTGGAATACCGTGGCTCAGAAGGTACGAACCACGGGTAAACTGGCAACATCGGACAGTAACGATGCCTGCCGCTTGTTCATCAGATGGCCATCTGATGAACGTTTTGGAGCGTCCACAAGCGTGTGGATGTACTACGAGTGAGTGCGATGGCCTCACTTGTGGTACGGTCGTTAGTACGACTGCACAAAACCTTAGTGTACCAAACGGTTACACTTCGGAGCAAAGTTCCGGCGGCTGTGAGGAAACACAGGCTGCGCCGAAGGTCCACCACTCGAATAAGTCGGGTGGACTGGGACAAAGATGTATCCCTAGAGGGGAACATCTAGAAGAGAAACAATCGATCGCTCAGGTTAAGCGAAACGATAATCCTAGATCGACTGGAGAGTCTTTCGTAGAGGATCTCGCTGTGGTTGCGCAACCCCAGCTAGAGGAAGTAAAGGGAATAAGTCCCAAGATTACAAATACGGCGGAAATAAGTTCCCCGAAACCCGCGGGAATAAGTCCCCGGGAAGACGAAGGAATAAGTCCTTCGAAGCCTGAG